TTAATGTCTCATCTATTGATTTGCCCTCAAGCTTTTATGAACCTGGGAAGACTGAGGTCTCTGTCAGGTGAAAAGAAGGTAACAAATCAGATGCTTCTTCCAGGCATCTGCTTAGAAGGGAATTTCAGAGATGGGACCCACTAAGAAAGCCCTTCCTCACCAGCACCCCACTTCACCTGAGATAGCAGGGGGTCTCAGGTAAGTGTCTTCATTAACACTCCTAAAGTATTGCCAGACTGATGTGGGATCAGGCATGCAGGGGCCCAAGTCCCTGGCAGCAAGAAAATGGGCGTTTTAGAAGAATGTTAGAATTAGTAATAAAAATGGTAAGGCTGGTAAAATATTCTGCTTTGGCCAAGAGTATATGAGGGCTGAGAGAGGCATCAAGCCAAAGTAAATTCTTCACAAGTGTGAAGAATTCAGTGCACCATGATAGATCCATCAGCAAAATTCACAAGTTAATTTTCTCAGAAGTATCGATAGGTTAAAATGCAATCAAGCTGAAAAGGTTTTTTTAAACTTTTCAAACAAGAAAAGAAATACGAGAAATACAAGGACAAGCAAGGAAAGAAAAATAGCATCCCCATTCCATAAGAACAACCAGAACCCACAAACCAACAACGAACCAAAGCTTGCTCATGGTCAGTAGATAAAACATGTAGCGTCTCAACGAAATATTTGCTCCCCTTTGATTTTTCCAGTTTGAAATGGATTTCATTTGCATTGTTAACAGTTCAGATAGTTCAACACTGTAAAGGTGCAAAATATATATATTGTTTCTTGCAGTGCTTTTTTGGTAAAAAAAAAAAAAGGTGCTGGAACTCAGTCACAGGCAGTAAGCGCGCGACCACACACACCATCCCAAGCGGAGGAGCACCCCAAGCCTAGAGCAGCGCCCTCACTATCTCACTAGCAGATAACAGATAGCGGACACAAGAGCAGCCCGCAGGCACTATGTTAATGATGTTTGCTGCTGATCTGCTACATTCAAAATCACTTCGTAAAATCCATTGGAAAAAGGGTGCCGGAACACTGTTCCGGTGCGTTCTATGATAAAAAAAAGCCCTGGTTTATTGTATCGATAAACAAAAATGAACAGCTCAGCTATTACCCACCTGAGTCAATACTCCATAGAGGCTCCTTTGGCAACAATTATAACTCCAAGTGTTCTGTTGGGTTGGGTAGGACCCTTGGGGAGCATCAGTGTCTAAGTCTTGCCACCGATTCAGGTCTTGGCTTTAATTGGGCCATTCTAAGACCGTCAGGGCTTGTTTTACAGCTCTGTGCAGTTCAGTGACCTGCCCAAGCCCAGGTCTTCTGCAGACTGATACAGATTTTCCTCCAGAATTGCCCTGTATTTGCCCTCAGTCCTGACCCATTTCCTGGTTCCCGCCGAGGAAGACCATCATGCCGCCTCCACGCACCACCATGGAAAATGAGCTGAGTCGACTCTGCTCCACGCACGGCGGCTGTCCCCACAAGTAACGCTGAACAACGCTGCACAGCGACCACGCAGCCTGGTGTCTTGCCTTGTGTCGCGGTGCAGACATTCGCGTGGGGTCCGTGCATGCCTGGTTTCCCCGCTTCTCCCTCTTCCCTCAACACGGCGGCACCTAACCCATCAGTCCCCTTGGCTGGAGAACAGTCCCAGAGTGCACTGCTCCTGCCTGCTCTCTCTCTCTGGCCCACACATGCTCCTGGGTGTGGACACAGCTGGCTGCCTTCCCCTCCCGCTGCTCAGGGAAGCACCTGCCTGCGCACTAGAGTCGCACTGCAGGCGCACCCACCTGCACGCCCTCCTGTCTCCCTCCCTGGTTGCACACGTGCCCACATTGCCCCACGTGTGGGATTTGCACACAGTGCCAGGGGCCACCCCCCTGCTGCCGCTGGGCACACGGCGGGCGTCAGCATGGTCACCCGTGCCCACGATGGAGGGGGCCAAGAAAGCGCTTGCCCTGAGGCTTGGGCGGGGACGATTGGGTGGGGGACAGACAGCAAGGCATGTTGGGAACCCAGAGGAACGCCGGAGACAAGGTAGAAGCAAGGGCGGGTGGGAGACATGGGCTTCCCAGGACCATCGTCCTGATGGTGATCCCAACGCACAGCCTGTGTGCTCCTCATGTGTAAGCCTAAACATGAGGAGACTTCTGGTTCCCATGCAGCCGTTGCAAAACACTGATCCAGTGAAGTGTGGCAACCAGACTGGAGTGCCAGGCACGCCTGCCTCCGGTCGCGGCTGCTGGAGGTGGTGTGCTGAAATGCCCCGCAGCCTCCGAGGTTCCAAAGCTGTGGCTGAGCATCGGAATGGCAGTGTGGGGCAGAAGAGAAAGGCGGCACAAAGCAGCCAATCAGAGCGTGGCTGCAGCTGCCTCAGCAGTTGCTAGGCAGAATAGGACAGTGAAACATGGAGGCTGGAGCTTCCCCTGCAGCTGTGGCCTCTCTTGCCACCAAACTCGATGGCAGAAATGTGGAAACCGTACAAAAACATGGCAATGGGGGCCACACGTAACAAGCCACAGTGAAGCACAGAATCCATACAACAAACCATTGTTTCTTGGCATGGTTTCATGGGAACCAAATGTGCCATATTTTGCCATGAACATTCAGTTCACACATAATGACAAGCCATGCCTTCATGGTTTCTAGCATGGCTTGCCATTACGTGTGAACACAACCTGTGTTTTGCAGCAAGGCTGAAAAGTTCAATTTGGGTCTTAGAGAAGCTTTTCCCACACGTCTGCTGTGTCTCCCACGTACCTTTTTGCAAACTCCAAAGAAGCTTTGAGATGGGTTTTAACAATGTCTTTCTTCCTACAGAAGGCCCATAATGCCCAGCTTTGTGGAGCATCCAGGTGAGAGTTGTTGCATAGATGGTTTCTCTTATCCCAGCTTCAGAGCTAGCCAGTCAATTGACAGTTCTATGTTTCATTTTTATACCACCCAACAGCCAAGGGCAGTTAACACACATTACGAAAAATGTAAAACACACACGCTACTGGTGGACAGCTTCCTCTATGCGGAAAATCTTTGAGACATATTTTTTTCTATTTTGTAGGCATGGATGGCATGCTGCCTTAGAGCATCTTCATAGCTTGTGTTATCTTTTACAGCTTAATCTTGATTGGTGCTTCTGTAAAACTTTGTCCTGGAGTTGTTTCAATAGCTTCTTGGTCTTTGTGACATTGTTTGTGTAGGTAAGTTTTCCAGCGGACTCTGGGGCCTTCCAGAAACGGACATGTATCATCTGAGACCCTGTGACACTGAACTTGCAGGGGGGCTTCATTCAACCACACACAATGCAGTGTATGACTTCGTGCACCAGAACTTACTGATGTCACAGGAAAGGGGGTCAATACTTAGGCAAGCAACAAGTGCCAGTTGGTTTTCTGAACTTTTGTACCACAACAGCGGCATTTTGCCCTTTCGATTGTGTCCATCACATGGCAACAATGTCACTCAGTGCGCACAATCCACTGCAATTGGACCGGACATGACAAAATGGGCCACAGTCAAAGAGGGATGATGCCACTGCAAGGCACGACAGTGCATCATTTCACATAAAGAAAGCCCATGATTCAACAATGACCCACAATTCACAACAGTCCATACTCAACCCTGGATTATGTGAGAACCAGGCCACTAGGATATAATACTGTTGAAAACACTTGTAAGTTAGCCATCGAACTTTACTGTGACCCACAAAGAACGCAAAAATCATATTCGGATCACAGCTGTCCAACAGCATGCTTCAGATAATGGTCTAGGTCAGCCTTCCCCAACCTAGTGGCCTTCCCCGACACTTGGACTCCAACTCCCAGAATTACCATCCAGGAGGGCCATTGACTGGGAATTCTGGGTGTTGCAGTCCAAAGATGCCCAGAAGGGACAAAGTCAGGGAAGGCTAGTTTAGGTGCTCAGAAACATGTTACAGAGATCCTTGGATTCAGATGCTTTGACTTTCTTGCTTCACACAAGAGAATAAGAGCAGGAAAGCTCATGCTCTTCCTTTAAAACAAACCACAGTTCTCTGTTATGTTCTCTGTATTCAGGAAAACATGGCATATTCTTGAGTAATTAAACAAGGGTCAAACTATCATTTCAAAACCTGGTTTGTCAGCTAACCTTGGTTAGCACACACAAGTCCAGCTGTGAAGCTTTTGCCGTCTACTTCTTGTGGAAAGGAAGAGGAATGCACAAGCCAGAGGGGTACCATGGCTCATTCCTCACCATGTAAACAACCAGGTGCTGCCTATGCATAACGCTAACCCATGGTTTATTTAACCTAAGATTAACCCTCAGGTTGTGCCCTATCCAGGTTCACCTGCAGACTACGAAAGAAAAGGTGCTTTGCTTTGATCCCAGCTGGTTTCCCCTCCTCCTTTGGCTACACCCTCCCTGTATCCCATATGCCTTTGCAATGCTGTAATACTGGTGTAAATTGTTGGGCAACCACCACCCCAAGAGCGCAGGCTACAGGACAGCTGTTGTTTCTTGCCCCCCAATTCTGTAGCCTGGTGAAATCACCCGTGGACTAGAGCTCTGTGGAATCCATCCCTGCAGCGGCTGCAGACTTTCACACTCGGCACTGTCTTGGAAAGCGAGCCAAGCCAAGACGGACTCCACCAAATCCATGCTTGCAGAACAAAGGCTGCACAAGCTGAGGCTGCTGTGCATGGCACGGGAGAAGGCAGCTGCTTGCGCAGCGTTCATGCTGGGCTCAGCTCCTGGCAAGAGCGTCGCAACAATGGGCGTGCTCCCCAGGAACTTGGAATCATTGCTTGTCGACGCGGACTTTCACGATCAGAGGCAGCAGGTCGAGTCAAGGGGGATCAACCCCGGGAGAGCACCACTGGCCTCCTATCTTGCTTATGAGCTTCACATACAAAACTGGAAGCAGCATTAGATAAACTGTTGGTTTGAACCTAACAGGGCTCATCTCATGTTCTTAACTTGACCAAAGCAGTCAGATTGCATGTCAGAGCTACCATGAGCCAGTCATAGCCATTTTTATTACAATTTTTATTTTTTATTTGTATTACAGTATCCCTAATTATGATTATGTATTCATATTAAATAGTTTTCTGCATTAAAGTGCGATGTACCATCCTGTTTGTATGATCTGCCACCAGTCACAACACCAGCTGCTAGAGTTCAGGATTCTTCCATTTCTTTAGCCATTCCTCATGTTGTCGGAAATTCTTGGCTCTCTTTTCTTCATACTGGAAAGAAAACAAGGTGGTAGATGAACAACAAATAAGCCACATCACTGTAGTTAAAACACAGCATGAGATTTAATCACTCAAGGAAGGGAATAAATATTGTTGCTGTTTTCTAGATTGCCAATTAGATTTGGGTTGGGGAGAGGAGAGGAGAGTAGAGGAGAGGAGAGGAACTGAATTGCTGGCTAAGGTTATTATTTAACATAACCTCCCCAGCTACTCCATTTGGTTTTGGTTGAATACAGCAATCAAGAAACAAAAAACAAAAGTATTTCCTAAGACTTCAAGCAGATAAAAGGACTAGCAAACCACCTGAATGAAAGCCAAGCTAACCAGAAAGCCCATTTCCACAGCAGAAATGAGATGCAGCCAGTGTGAGATGCACAGAGAACTACCGAGGAGCACTGGAAATAACCAAGTGACTGAAGGCAAGAGAGGTGAAGCACCCCTGTCCCAGAGGCCAAATCCAGCCCCATACAGTTTTCCAGAAAGCTATTTTTCCCGGCTTCAGCCCCTCTCAGCTGCCTTCAGTACCTTCCCCAGCCACTCCTCATTTGACTCAACTTCTATGTAGTTTTTCTCCAGTCCAAACAGTCGAAATGCTTCTCCTAAGACTTAGTTGCTGGAAAAAAGGGGGCCATGGGCTTTAATAAGCTGATGCTTTTTGTATTTTCGGCCTCAACACTTTTGCCTTTTGCTCCCCTTCTCCCACCGGCCCCACAAAGCACTGACATGTGGTTCCCAAGGGCTCCTCCAAAACGGAATGGGGCCCTTGGGTTGAAAGCAGCTTCCCTGCAACAGCAAGCAACCTGTAGAGTCCAGAATTTCAGAATACATTTCCCATAAGCTCTGGCCAGCATGACCTATTATTATGGATTATGGGAACTGTAGTACAGAACATCTGAAGTGGGGTTGTACAACATCTGTCTCAATCACAGGGTGCCACAAGCATAGCAGAACATCTTATCTCTGGATGACGTTTCATAGTCAAAGCACAGAGGTGAGCATTGCTGAAAATTTCCAAGTCCTCAGCCTCCCATCATCTTCAGCTGGTGCAAGTCTAGGATTCATATAAAGAAATGTCACTGAATATGATCGTCATAAAGATTTCACCAGCTAGTGGCTTACCTCTTTCTTTAAGCATTTTTTCATTTCTCTGTCAAGATCACTGCAGTGCCCAAAAAATTTCAAGAAGTAGTGCTGGGAAAGAGAGAGGGACTTTGTGATGATAATGAAAAAGAGGAAACACACCTGATAGCAAGAGAGACTGATCAACAAAGGAGAGGACACAAGAGGAGTCGTGATTTTAATTCATAAGCTACTCTTTTATTCAGTTCAACGAACTATTATTGATCCTGATGGTTGGTTTTTGATTCTGTTTGGAAAATGCCTTAAGAAAGTAATGGCTTTAGTTAACGTGTAAAGGCCAAATAATGACTCTCCACATACATGTGGGCATGGTGAGCATGTGGTGAGCGGAGCTGACTGGAGCCGGGGGTCAGACTAGATGGCCCAGGAGGCCCCTTCTGACTCGCTCTGTTTTTCTGTTTCTATGTCCTGAACATTTTAGCAAATTGTTTGATAAGGCACATGATGCTGCAGGTTAATGAGAGCTATCTCCTCCCAGACAGCAAGGCACAATTTGCTAAGAGGCAAAACAATGCTAAGATTTGCATTTCAGGCTTATATGGCAGAATTCAGGCTGATCAAGTGGAAAATATTGCACACAGAAAAGAGAGACTATACATTTATACCTTCTGTACATCTTAATTCTTTCTGGCTGGATTACTTTTTGGTTTCCACATTTTCATTTTGCCAAATCAGAAACTGTAAGATTGAAATATTAATAATACTGGACTGTGCCACAGCTGGTTTGGGCCTGCCAGTTTCAGACTACTCTTGTTTGGCGCCTTAACGCTTCCTTGCTAAATGATGAGTTAAAAAAAAATCAGGTGCTTGTTGAGCTTCAAGAATATTTTGAAATCAATGAAAGAACAAGCAATTTATGCTGCACTGAATGCAAGGTTAGTAAAGCTTTCATATGGAGCTGAATTATTACCTATGTTTCCAGATAGGGAGGAAAGGATGATATGAAACAAGGAAACAGGAAGAGTAAAAGTGTAACAAAGAAAATTCCTGACCCAAAAGGAAGCGGTCCGAGATCAGATTGCAGGAGGGAAATGTCACGTAGACAAGACAGCAGTTCCCTTGCTCAGTGACCTCATGACTGTTCACAAACACATCCCGCATAGGAAATGAGCGCATTACAATTCACCTGGGAGGGACAAAGTGGGAGGGAAGAACAGGTATTGGAGTGGCACAGGAGAGGCGGACGGAAAAGACTGCCACCTCCCAGTGCCCTGGCCAATGCGGGGAGAAGAGGGCAGCAGTGGCTGGGGAAAGGCGTGAGGGTGGGATGTGGACATGTGCTCGGCAGGTTGGCAAGGGGAAGGAAACCCTTCTGACTCCCTTCATTGCAATAAAGTTTTTAAAAAGAACTCTCTGCTGCCTGGTGCGTTTGCTTTTCCGAGGGAAAGGAAAGAATGTAAAATAAATGTAAAAAGGAGCAACTAATAGTTCTAAGTGATAGGTTGAGAACACTTGTAAACTCCCTACCCCCAAAATTCACAATTTTAACAAAAGGTACAGCATGTTAAACATGAGTTGGATAAAATGTTTTCACAATAGGAATAATCTGCACTGGGTTGTTTACGACAGATATAATGAGAGAATATTGAATGGCCCAGTAAAATGTTGGCAAATCATCTTCGACTATTTGAAGTACTATATTGGCTATCAAAGATGATAGTGGCAAGATTCTAAGGACGTGTATCTAATTTTAAAGACAGGCATTTCCCATTTTTAACATTTTATTCAGAATTATGTTGCTGTGTCTGTAAAATATCAGAGCAGGACAACAATTCTTCCCCTCCTGCCCAGGTTAATTTTCCCTGACTAGGTATGTCACAAAGACATTATTTAATGGTGCCTTTGCAGATTGGTTAAATTAAACCTGGAAAACACCTGATCCAGATAGATTTCCAGTGGAGTGACTGAAAACATTTTCCAGCTTTCTCATTTCCAAACTTCACCACCTGTATATCTTTATTTCAGAATCCAGTTCTCTTTCATCAGCACTCAAAGATGCTTATACTACCTAATTCCTAATCCAGATAAAGATCACATCCACCAAAGTAGTACGTTGATTAATGGTGATATTAAAATACTAACTTCAATTCTGGCTAACAGACAACAAACAAGATTAGTCCAACCAGATCAAGACTGTTTATTTCAGAATTCTGTGTGTCTGTTCCAGCAGATGATGCCGATGATTTTGCACATTTATCTGGTTATTCTATTAACTGGTCCAAGTCAGAACTCATATCTACAGAAGGCAAAGTACCCCATACTTTGCTATTTAATTGGCAATTTAGATTTTGTGCTGAGTCTCTTACTATCTGGGAATACTTGTCCAAAGAGACTTCTCACAAATAAATAAGCTGAATTTGAGTAATTTGATTAATAAGATACCAAGGGCCATTGACAGATAGACATCTTTAAAGTAAGGTACCCTATAAAGTAGGGTAAACACACTTAAAATGAAGATAGTACCTCAAATTGTTTTATGCGGTATTCCTTTATCTATATCTGGCAACTATTTCTAGAATGTAATGCTTTGTTTTATAAATTTTATGGGGTTCCACTCCAGTGCAAATATCACTGAAAACAGTATGTGTGTGTGCGCTTTGATGAAAATTGGATATGGCCTCCCTGACCTTCCCTTGTACCATCCGGACTGCTTGTTGCTTTGCACTGGATTTTGGTGCTTTCAATTTAGATTAGATTCCTCTCCCTTGTCAGTTTTGGATTCTTAATTTCTAAGTCTTCTTCCCAAGAGGATCACATCATGCCAGATGCAGCAGCCAGAGAACTGTTGCAATTTCCATGTGAGATTTTCACCTACAAATTTAACCTTATGGAGGAATCCAGATGCGCGAGGAATCTATTTTGGGGTGGAAAGCCACCAGATTCCCTGGGCTTGGCTCCCCAGACTCCAGGCTGCTTTGCAGCAACCCTGAGTTGAGGTTCCTGGCAAGCTTGCCGGGAATCCAGCCCATGCCTCTGACGCATCCAGCACTGCTGTGAACAGCTGCACCGGCCAAAGCATGGCTTTCTGTTCTGTGTACCAATTATAAGGAGCCAGCAATGGATGTGTGGCAATACATACAACTGAAACGTTTGTGAGAATCCAGGTTTGGTCACACTGCTTTATGGCTTCAGGGCTGTGTTGCTAGAAGTGCTGACTGCAGCAAAATGGTTACATTGGTCCTCAGTCCATGATTATAAATGTTTTTTTATTACTCATTAAATATGACCCAAAGGGAATGAACCAAGAATGAAACAATGAACTGCAGCTCCTCATCTTGCCCGATCAATAGCGTGCTCCATTATGATCTATTTCACATGGAGTCATGAGTCATAAGCTACATTTAATTTAGCAAAAATGAGGTTTTGACAGTACTGGACACTGCAGCTTCTCTTTGATAGGGGTTTTGATAAGGGCTTAATTAAATCAACCAATTGTTTGAGGTGCAATTCTCCTAATCCATCTGTTCATCATATGTTTTGGCGATGTCTTAAGGCAGCTTCCTTTCCCTACAAAGGAATAATTCAGATAATTTGTGTCATGGCAAGTTCTTTAGTATTCATGTATACACACATTTTCTTGAATTATCTATCCATCTCCTGGAATTTAATGCAAGGTCAGCATGAATGGATTCTCCATTCCCTTTTGACAGCTAAAAGATTAATATTACAACACTGAAAAGATAAATGGGCCACCTGCAATAACACAATGGGTGGAGAATTTAATGAAACTTTAAATTTTGGCATGGGTGGCATTTAGGCATAATTTTCAAATGGATAAATATAAAGAAATTTGAGGAGCCTTTGAAGTTTAAAATCATTTTTAAGAACAATTGTATGTTCTGTTATATATATATATATTAACATAGTATATACTGCACAATACAAAATTAATAAAAAAGAAAGGAAATGACATAATTATAGCAAAATAAACATCCAATTATCAAAACCCACTGACATGCAACAAAACCATGCCTGTTGCCAGCAGTCAATAAACAGATGTTAAAATTAACACTAAACAAAGTTTTACAAACTTGTGTGGCATCTCCCATCTCCCATTTTGATAGCCAGACTCCGACAAATCATGCTTAGCTATTTTTAAGTGCAGGGTCTTTTGAATGACACCATATTGTCCCTACTAGTTTTGTAGCTATATCAGTACATCCACTGTCAAGAAACAGACTATTTTAGCAAAAATAACTGAGGACAGAATCCAATCCAATTGGCCCATAGCCTTCTGACATCAAAGGATTATGGGAATGCAATGGAGGCAGGAGGAGCAAAGAGCCGATGGTCGCTTCCTCCCTCCAGCTGATTTCCGCCATTTAGCTGAGGCACAGAAGGAGGCGCCACCAGGAACCTCGTCTCTTGTGGCCCCACGTCTTCTTCTCTCCCAGCCCTCCAGAATGCCCCCTAACCCTCATCTCTGAGGTTGTTCTTACTAGCACAGAGATGCAGCTGCTGTGATTCTTTCTGCTCCTCTTTCTGCCAGGGGAGCATTCAGAGAAGTCAGAGAAATTGCCTGACCTATAGCTGGGCCACTGAAAAGTTCTTGGGCTGGCTAGATGGGCTGCCCGGTATCCCAGGTCACATAGTAAGGGGGGATGACATTGTGTGTATGTTAGGGCTGAGGATTTAGAAGTTCCGATAATTTTTAGATTGATATTTATTCTGAATAGTGGTCCTTTTTAAAGAATCTTTGACTGAACCAGGAATGGATTTTAAGTTATGTCCCAAAATCAACTCCAAGGGAGCCAGGAGAAGACCGTCAAGCCAAGACAAACCTACTATTCAGTTGGCAGTCTATGAACAGTGGTCGGTATTCAGCTGGGAGAATGAATACAGTCATTTTCACTCAAAGAAGAAGCTGCATCAGTTTTGCCAGGTACAGATAAACCAACTAACAGCGCTTCCTATTTGGAAGTAAAACCTGGCAGGCCAGGATGTGATGACTTTTAATATGGATGTCTGAATAACTACCTCCAGAATCCAGGATTCCATACCTAACTCCATGAGCTCAGGGAGGTCTTCACCTCCTTGGACACCACTTCCAG